TCCCCCCCTCCACCCCCGGAGCCAAAATGAAAAAAAAATAAAACCCACAAAAATTTGGGTTGAAAATAATTCCCGTGGGATAATGGAGCCTGGTTAATGCCTGAGACCAAGGTGGAGCATCCCAGGGGGGGAAAAGTGCCCCGTGAGCCCCCCAAAATAACCTATTTTTGGCAGGTAATAGGTGAAAAAATAATTTGTTGCTAAAGGGGAGGCTCTCCCCTCGCAGCCTGTGGAGACCTACTAATGCAACGAGTTGTGTCCGGCCTTGCAACACCCTCCCCCCAAAAAATCTTTAATTCCCAAGGCATTCCCGAAGCTTTGATATTTTCTTTTTCCCTTCGAAATATAAATTCCTGGGGGAGTGAACCAGAAAACCCCGTATTCAGCTTAATTATCCTCCCCGGCCTCAATCTGTGATCTCTGGGACAATTAAAAGCGCTTAATCCCGGCTGAAAAGCAAACAAGGTCGGAGGCGGCGTCTTCCTGCTTCCCCCTCGCCCGCTGCCGGGGTCTCGCTCCCCGGCTGCAATATAAATATGCAATTAAAAAATCGCCACTAATTGCTTCACCCAAGGCGGGGGGGGAAGGGGGGGTTTCCCACCAGGGGGAAAAAAAAAAAAAAAAAATTAAAAAAAAGCTCCAGGGAAAGGGATATTAGAAACACGTTTAAAAAGGGGAAAACTAGTAAAAAGAGCGTTTCCCACCCCAATAATGAAAAGCTGAAGGGGTGTGGGGAGAAGTCGCTGCACTCCGTGTCTCAGCGTGGGGTTTTCTTTTGGGGGGGATGCTCTTTTTTTGTTGGGGGGGGGGAGGAAGGGTGTGGGTCCTCCCCTCAGGGTTAATCCCCGGCTCTCCGGCTCTCCCCTCTCGCTCCAGCGCTAACGACCCCTGGCAGCTCTTGGCTTGTTAGCCCTTCCCAAAAGCAATTAAGAGAGGTTGGGAAATGAGGGCAGCTCTGAGACAGGGCGGGAAGTGGGTGGATCAAGCCTGGGACAGGCTAACTGAGCGTGAAAGAATGTGAGCCCTAAAGTACCCGACCAACGGGCAAAGGCACGGGAAGGTGTAAAGACCTGAAGTTTGGGAACTGGGTGTGCCTTTTGTGGTGGAGGCACTGGGTTCAGCTGAACCATTTCTTTGTCGGCCTTTATTGAACCTTTAAAATCACGGCGTTTGGGTGCTGCCACGGGAGCCCCCGCCAGGAGGAAAGGGAGGAGGAGGAGGAGGAGAAGGAGAAAGAGGAAGATGAGGAAGAAGAGGAGGCAGGTTGGGGGTCAGGGGGCTCAGGTGGCAGGCAGCCAGACCTTCTGGGTGCTGATGACGTCGCTGAGCTTGCCCTTGATCTTCAGGAAATGCCTCTTGAACTCCAGGCCGTCGCCCTGTGTGGGGAGAGACGAGGGGGTCGTGTCCACTCCCTCCCACCCCCCATCACCTCCCGCCCCCTTGTACCCACCCCCACTGCTCTGCACCCACTCTGCGGCACCTTGCACGGCCTTCCACCCACCTTGCATGGTCCTGCATCAACCTGCATCCACCTCACGCCCACCTCACATGGTCCTGCATCACCTGGGAGCCAACCTTGCGTGGTCCTGCATCACCTCACACCCACCAGGCATGGTCCTGCAAGACCCTGCACCACCTTGCATGGTCCTGCCTCACCTCACATGGTCCTGCCTCACCTCACACCTACCAGGCATGATCCTGCCTCACCTCACACCCACCAGGCATGGTCCTGCCTCACCTCACACCCACCTCACATGGTCCTGCATCACCTCACACCCACCTCGCATGGTCCTGCGCCACTTCACACCCACCTCGCATGGTCCTGCATCACCTCACACCCACCTCACATGGTCTTGCATCACCTTGCAATCAACCACACATGGTCCTGCCTCACCTCACACCCACCTTGCATGGTCCTGCCTCACCTCACACCCACCTCACGCGGTCCTGCATCACCTGACATCCAACCTTGTGTGGTCCTGCCTCATCTCACACCCACCTCACACAGTCCTGCCTCACCTCACGTGGTCCTGCCTCACCTCACACCCACCTCACATGGTCCTGCATCACCTTGCACCCAACCTTGCATGGTCCTGTATCACCATGCATGCGCCTCACATCCACCAGGCATGGTCCTGCCTCACCTCACATCCATCAGGCATGGTCCTGCCTCACCTCACACCCACCTCACGTGGTCCTGCCTCACCTCACACCCACCTCACGCGGTCCTGCATCACCTGACATCCAACCTTGCGTGGTCCTGCATCACCTTACACCCACCAGGCATGGTCCTGCAAGACCCTGCACCACCTTGCATGGTCCTTCCTCACCTCACACCCACCTCGCATGGTCCTTAAAGACCCTGCACCACCTTGCATGGTCCTGCCTCACCTCACACCCACCTCACATGGTCCTGCCTCACCTCACACACACCTCACATGGTCCTGCATCACCTCACACCCACCTCGCATGGTCCTGCACCACTTCACACCCACCTCACATCACCTTGCAGCCAACCTTGCGCGGTCCTGCATAACCTCACATCCGCCTCACATGGTCCTGCCTCATCTCACGCCCACCAGGCATGGTCTTGCAAGGCCCTGCACCACCTTGCACTCATCGTGCACCCACCGTGTGCCCACCCTGATGCCACCCCCCCCGCTCACCTTGGAGAGGCGAAAATCAACCAAAATCTTGCTCTCCATCTCCACCAGGTTCACCTTGAAGATGAGCTTGTTGTTCCTCCTGTCTGTGGTCGAGATGGTGACCTGCAAAACAGCAGCCCAGGGGAAGGAGGGGGTGTTCCCCAAAATTAATTGCAAATCCAATGGTGTATGGGGGGGGACGGGGGGGGGGGGGGGGGCCCCACCCCCCCCCGCCCCCCAAGCCTTACCTGGTTGGTGCAGCTCTTCTTCCAGCCGTACCCCATCTTCTCACACACCTCCCTCAGGGCGCGGTACGAGCCTTCGGCGTCCAGTTTGGTGAAGAAGCGCGTCATCCTCTTCACCAGCCGCTGCCAGGGGCTCTGTTTCCCCCCCAAAAAAAACCCCAAACAGTTAAAAACTCCCAAATTCCACAAAGCTGGTGGAAGCTGGCCGTAAGGAGGACCAAGAGGCTGCAGCGTTGCACCCCCTGATGGCAAACACACGCCATGCAGCGTCCCCATCCCACCCCGGGCACTGCCAACACCCCAACGCCCCCCCCCAGAATTCCCAAATTCCACCCCGACGTTACAAATACCACGAAGGTTCTTCTTAACCTTATACACACCACCCAAAGCTGCACCCCCGATGGGAGAAACAATGCCAAGGTGGACCC